TAAGGGGGATCCAGGGAACGTCCTCTGTTTCTCTGCCTTCACCTTCCTGTTGAAGAGCCATGCTGACAGCAACCAGATCCCTGTGATGCTGCCACCACCATTGGATCCACAAGACTTTGTACCCACCGGCCGGTGATGTTCCTACATCCTGCATTGTTGCATGTGGCTGTGTGAGTCTGAAGAGAGACTCATGGGGCTAGGAGCAGAGTTATGGACTAGCATTGGATTTAGGCACTTAATCTGGACTGGGATGGGATGTTTTCTTAATATACAATTACTTTTTGATATAAAGCTCTCTTTTCCACATATATGAGTATATCTGGATTTTTTTTTTCTCTAGTCAATCCAGCCTAACACACACCCCATGGTGAAGACCCTTCTTCACTTACATTTTTTTCCCAGTTCATTGCTCTGCTCTTCTCTTTTATGAATGCCCAGATGTTCTGTCTGGATTTGACTAGAATCAGCCTTGGAGGCTCTCTAAAGGATCAAAATTACTTCTGAGGCCTCTAAATATTATGATCACATAATTTTAAGTTCAGTCAGGCATCAAGTCCCTTTGTGGGGCTGTTCCGATGGTTTTACATTTGTTTCTTTTCTTGATCCTCGATCTGTCTTCTTTTAGTTATATTCATTCTTCAACTGTGGTGTGCATTGATCATATTAGTTTGATATGGAAAGTGTGGCCAAGCACCACTGACGTCAACATTGCTCGCTTGTATTTTTCTATCCCAGAATGAATACTGGACTGGAGAAGCTGAAAGAAGCTTCGGAGTCAGTGGCAGCCCTGAGCAAAGAACTGGAAGTGAAAGAAAAGGAGCTCCAAGTGGCCAATCAGAAAGCTGACACAGTAGGTGGACGTTTACATGTCTTCCCTTTTCATTCCTAGAGCTTAACTGTTAATGATTGGTTCATCGTTACTAATAGGTAACCGTGCAAGTATATATTTAAAAGAATTTCCATTAGAATTAAGTGCTATTCGTTTTATGTGTGAGTAATTGGGTAAATGGCTAGACTGAAAAAAATCAAGACAAAGAAATAACATTCTTTCAGTTGGGTCTTTGGTAGCTGTTACGGAGATTAAAAAACATTTTTGTACGATTTAGGTCTTAAAAGAGGTGACAATGAAAGCACAGGCTGCCGAGAAGGTCAAGGCTGAGGTTCAGAAGGTGAAGGACAAAGCCCAGGCCATTGTAGATAGCATCTCCAAAGATAAGGCCATTGCCGAAGAAAAATTGGAGGCAGCAAAACCAGCTTTAGAAGAAGCAGAGGCAGCGTTGCAGGTAAGTGGATGTGATATAATGATGTCAACTTTAGGAACTGGGAGAACAAAAGTGAAAAGATTCCTAATAAAGAAATCTGGACATACCAATTGAGATCAAAGATTTAGCCATGGAATGGGTTAATATAGGTAATATTTTCTCAGTAGAGTCTTCATTAGCTCTCTGTAGGTTTGGGGTTTGCTACTTAGCATCCCACTCTCTTTGCTGATACATAATGGGCAGTGTCATGTATGGTGATGAGGAGTTCTGGGTTTTCAATTAATCTCTGCCATTAATAAGTCTGTAGGGTTTTTTTTTGGTTTTTTTTTAGGTTTTGACATCTTTGCATTTTATTTTTTAAAATTTTAAATATTTTGTCTTAAATAAATGAAGTTTTATTGATATGTAATTCACATACTGTATAATTCACTGCTTTGAACATATTAAAAAGAGTTGTGCCATCATCCCCCAGTCTATTTTAGCACACTTCCTTCATTCTTGTACTCACTAATTCCCCATTTCCTCCCAACCTCCTTCGCTACAACTCATGGAAACTATTAA